CTTCGGCCATGGATATCTGCCAGGAATTAAGAGGCAACATAGTTGTCTTGGTGTGATTTTAGTCTATAGTGCATTCTTATTACCAGATTATAGGTGAAGCTGCCTTTTAGGGCAACGAATGGCCGGAACTGAACGTCTGGTTTATGCACATTTGGCAGGCCGTAGAAGTGAGCCACGGCAGTCTCTGTTATTTACGTTAGGCGTCGTCCCTTCTCAGTGACCAAATTTCGGCGTTTGAGCTCTCCAGAAAGAGCCCAAAAGCTCAGACGAGCATAAATTATGTGTCCGGTGATCGAAACGCCTTCTTATTCTCCAAGTTTTTCCAACTAGCTTTCCAAAGTCATCCACTTTCAATTAATCGAAACATAGCTCATCTTCTGAGAATAAGCTGGCACAGCGGTTATGGCAGCCATTATTTGTCTTTATAGAAAAGATCAAACATAACAAGGATAGCATCAGTCATCTTTCACACAGAAGCAACAAGTGAATCGGGAAACTTTATCCAGTACTATGTACTATTCTCTTTCTAGGGATCACAGACAGATAGATTTACCCACCGATATCGAAAATAAGGCAATAGGGGAAATCAAGGCTTGGAAACGGGCACTGCATTGTTCTAGCGCATAAACTAGAATGCCTTCGGAAGGGCAAAATCTTCCTAGGCATAATCAGTCCCATGTTTACTGCAATTCCGGTCTTTTTTTAAAAACCGTTTAGAGCAGGGCATGGCTGACGCTTGGCAAGAAATAAGGAAACTGTTTTGGGCGGACTTTATAATTTTTCGAGGCACAATCAAGAAGATATTCCTTTCCGCCCCATTCGCACAAAGTGACTAGGACGGTACCTGATGATCCTGCCACTCCCTGCATTCGTGCTACAGATATTAAAGATTTTAAATCACCTGCCTAAAGGGCTATGTTATCATCGGCACAGCCCTCTTCTCTTTCATTCATCTATCTATTGACCCTATTTACTAGGGCCCAGTGGTCGATACAGTTGAACTTCCCATGAACAAAACCCAGTGAAACGAACACTTTTCCCATACACGTCCATAGGCTCTAACTTCTG